TATTGTAAGCGAGAAGTCGGTTCTTGTGGTCAGTGTGTTAGATGTGGAACAAATGGCCGGATGTATTTGACAGTGGTCAAGTTCTTATGGCTACATGACTGAAACTACACTTGACAAGTCTTTGTACCAGATACTCCAGGGTACTTGGGAGGTCTGGTCCAAGATGTTTGGAGACACATGAACAATAAGATGCATGAGTGGCCATGTCTTCTCTCATCAGTGTGTCTCTTAGAATAATCCAACATCTCTTTATTCAGGATACCCCCGGATTCATCGTAAACCGTCTGTTAGGTCCTTACTTGTTAGAGGCCATCCAGTTGTATGAGAGAGGTGTGTATCCATGTTATTTCTACGTCCTTTAATGTTATTTTCCCAGTTTTTGATTGGAACCTGTAGCTTCCCATGGTTACAGGTCAGTTTTTCTTATTTTCCTCCTCAGGTCATGGATCTAAAGAAGACATTGATATCGCGATGAAACTTGGTGCTGGCTACCCCATGGGACCTTTTGAGCTAGCTGACTATGTTGGACTAGACATATTAAAGTTCATCATGGACGGTGAGTAACAGCACATGGACGGGTGTAAGAATTTAAAAGTTTGTATCCCAGTGATGAGATGAAACAGAGAAATGAAGCTACTAAACAAGCTGAGACATTAACCTGTACTTTCTCCTGCATATCTTTAGGTTGGAGAGAAATGCATCCTAACAGCACACTCTTTGCCTCAAGTGAATTGATTGACAAGTTGGTAGCAGAGGGCAAACTTGGCAAAAAGACAGGAGAAGGATTCTACAAGTACAAATAATCTATTGTGGAAATGTACTGCCGTCAAAGCAGTCAAATGTTGGGAAATGAAGCCACCCAGTGCCTGTGCTGCCTCACTAAAGATCAACTTTTTCCTCTTTCAGTCCATTTTCTTATGGACTTCTACTAAACAACATCAAGAAATGTTTTAGGTAATTAAATCTGATATAATTGATTTATAAAAACTTGGCGTCTGTTCTTATTTCTAGAGTGAAAGGTTTTGACGACCATGTGGATGTGAATAACTCTTACATCTAAAA